GCTAGGCCACAACCACTAGATCAATGTGTCCGGAAAAGCTAGGTTGTCTATTTTATAAGCGTCGTAAGTTTCTTCTTCAGTATAACTCGCCTTCCTAGTATTTCGCTTTGCTTTCAGTGATTTTATTCCCCCTTTTTTCTACTAGGTGACTCTCCATGCTCGCGGTGCCTTCGGCCGTCGCACGTCGGATCAGCTCTATGTTCCACCGGGAGGCGTGCACACCATGACATGGCGAGACAATGTCCTCATTTGGGCCGATGATGCTGTACGTTCATATTGGCCTCCAGCCATGGTAACACTATCATTGTCCTACAGGCAGTGCGTGTCTATAGCGTGCGCGAAAGGCATCTCATAAACTATATCCCTAAATTCCTGAACGACTTAGGGTAAGTTTTGCTCCCTACTTTAGTTATGTTTGAACTCCTTTTAAATTCCTTTCGGACCACCGATAACTTGAGCTTTCACCCGTTCATACACTTCCGTCTTATTCGGTAAATGATAGTTATTTGAGTTTGAGTAGTGTTTCACTGGACCCACCGATGATAGTTTATGCTGATTTCCATGAGTTCAGCTCAGCACCGTTAATCATGGCCGCCGGAGAGTAAAACTCGCTCCGTCGGCACTGATTGTCTGATGGTTAAGTTCTGCTCGATGGGGAGCCTTGCCAAATTCTGTGACCTTGCAATCTCGCATTTACTAGAGCACTTACTGAATTCTAAACAGTGTGAAGTAGGCTATGTAATGTTTTTGTGCTAGTCAATTTTATTTCTATTAATTAAACTATTTGACATTGGTATTTTTAATTTGGTCCTCTGTTACACTCATGCCTCCAATCCTTGCTACTCTTGTCTTTAAGTAGCGTCTTTGAAAGGAATCCGAGATGTCACCTCGCTTGGTGTTCTGACACCTGTTTCCTGATTGGATGGGAGAAAATTGTACAAGTGTGCCACATTCTGCGACCAAGCGGTCCTACACACGAGGCCACCTGGAGTTCAACTGCATCAAACGATGACAACGAGTCCATAGCTTCCTCACATTACTCTGCCTCAGTTGTGGGTACTCCAGCGCTCCCAAAAGAATACGTTCAAATTGCGGCTCAAATTGATTTGGGACGTGACGAGAAGAGAGGTGTGATTTGTGGCATTGCGATGCACCAAAATCGCATTCTTGTCCTTCTTTATCGGTTAAAATCTGTCGAGAGTCTTCTGGAGGTGGAACCCAGAAAGGAAAGGCCACCTCAGCTCCTTGTTGTTGATGTGGGAGACGCACTAATCAATCCCCTCTGCTCTCCGAGTGACCTGGACTCGATGCTGCCTATGGAGGATTCCTTTGAAGAAATAAGTCTGGAGGAGGTTGACCTTAAGGTTCCTCCCGAATATGGCTTACGAGGGTTAGGATTAGGTGAGCCCACGAAATTGACATTAGAGTGGATTTTGAAACCCCTGCTCAACGGCATAGCTTTAGGACGATTTAGAATGCTGCATTCGAGAGAGTGAAAATGAATTGGCAAAGAGTGAGGAAGTTTAAGACACCTCTTTGCGACATCAATATGATTTTTAATTCCCATCCAGGGATTTAGCAGATCCGTTGCGCGCACTTCTCAAATATTGTTCGTAGGTGAGAGGTTTTCACCAGCTTTGTTATCACCTGCAGCAACCATCTCTGGAGAAGATATACACTTCGTCTACTCTCCTGTAGACATGGTCTATGCCCAGGCACTGACTGCGGATGATCGAATAGACTGGTTTTTGGAGCAAGACATGCCCCGTCGAGCGCTCCAAATTGCTACCGAGCATCACAAGGAGTTAACTCGTCACTCCCCCAAGGTCATTCAAAAATTTCGGCTTATTCTTACCTGGCTCTATATCATTCCTGTTTGTCTTGGATACCAGGAATGTCCTCATGAACTGACGATTTGTGTTTTCGTTGCCTACCTTTTTTTCTCCAGTTTCCTGTTTTTAAGTCTTGTCCAGGGCATAATTCTTTTATATTCATAAAGCCACCTTCCATTGCAACCTTTCATCGCTCCTCATCTTAAGTTATTCAGAGTTTTTAACACAATGTGGGGCTGAAAGGTACATTAATTGTCATCATCTTGCCAAAGGCAGCTACTGAATATGTATAGCTGTAAAGTAAATTCTACCAGATCTGGTTACGAATAATCACCTTCAGTGATGCATGGGTATATTTAAAATTTAGAGCTTTTCTTTATTAGTTAATACTGGATTCGTTTGAACCAAATGGTCCACGCACCTTTCAGACATAATCGAGATTGGTACCTAATCAGAATTTATGCATTGTTAATAATTTCGCAGATCAAGACCCGTAAAATTGACTTTTTTGGAGTGTCAGTCCCATCTCTATTATGGTTATATATTTATTGAATGAAAAGGCGATAGTTAAATGCATTACTTTAGAAACTGGGAATGGATTATCTGGACAAGTTAATCGAGGCCAAAAAGTATCAGAATGCTGCAGGTCTCTGTAGGCTCCTTCTCACTGATAAAGAGTCGTGGGAGAGTCAGATTTACCGCTTTCTTCAGCTTGGGCAACTTCACGTACGTCAACTGCCCTAAGTCTTATCTTTCGATTGATTTTTGACATTCTATTGCATTCTACCTCCTAATATCTAGGTCCTTGTACCCTACTTACCATCAACCAAAGACCTCATTGGCTCCTCAACCTACGAGGTCATTCTGATAGACCTGCTGGAAAGATTCCCTCAGACTCTTTTGCAGAAACTCAAGGATTGGCCGCCGAGTAGCGGTTTGTACTCTCTAAATCCCATAATTGCGGCCATTGAAGGAAAAATCTCTTCGTTTCCAACCAAAGGTATATTCTTCATTCTATCTCATACTTTAAATTTCCTCACAGGAGACAATCAGGATCCCGATAAGAGTGCCTTATGGCGTGCACTTATTATCCTCTATGAACACGTTGGTGAACCCCAGAAAGTCCTTGAAATTTCCATCATGTTGAAGGACGCTGGAATCTTTGATTTTCTTCGACGTCACCTTTTGCCTGCGGGGCAGGCTAGTGATCATTTTGCAGCAGAGGTTCGCAAACAACTCCTTCCGCTGTGCCAAATCGACATTACTCGAGCCGTCCTTCTCATGATTGACTGCATGCAGGAGATACCTGTAAGTCTCTCCCTCATGCACGTAATCATGGGCAGTATCTGGTTTGTTAGTTTATATTTTCTCTCCTATAGGTTGATTTTGTCGTTGAAGAGCTTGATTCCCAACCGCTGCTGCTTTTCAAGGTAATCTATTTCGCTCAAAGAGTAACTGATTAAATTACTATATTTTTTCAGCTGCTTAGTACAAATTTCAACTCACCGCCATTTCACTAATGCGCGAACCTGTTTTGGTCGATCGCTAAAATTGGACTCTTTCAATAGTGTCGCGGATATAGC